GCTCTGATACCACATTGTAACGTCCACAAAAATATGATCTAAAATTTCATTTTTCATTTAATAAATCAGTATTCCAAAGCATTATCCATACAACCCAAAAGAAAATAAGTGTATCAAACATCATATTAATCAGAGTAATATCTCAAGCGGAAACCATGTGGTGTGTGTGATGTAGTCAACCCGAGCTCTTCCCCTTGGAACTGGAAGTACCTGAAACATAAACTAAAAACTGTAAACACGAAGCTTAGTGAGTTCCCCAAGATACTGCATACCAAACATAATATATAACAGGCCCCACCCCAGTAGTATAACGGGCCCCGCCCTAACTCGCATAACAGGCCCCGCCAATGAGTATAACGGGCCTCACCCTAACTCGCATAACGGGCCCCTCCCAAGGAGTATAACGGGCCTCTCCCAGATACAGTTCATGCTACATAGCAAGTAATAGCATACATGATAATCATCAGGCTCCGCCCAGTAAGCATACAAGATCATGTACATAGTAGTGTCACGCAGACAATGAGTATTCTAACATAACAGATCATGGGTAGGCATAGGTTCCTTCGACCCGCTATACATGGTGAGGAAACACACCTCGACTACAAAGTCTCACTGAAAATCCCAAGTTGATGTCTTGACGAATCCCCGAGCTATCAATACAAAATAGCACCCAATTAACATTTGGGTTCCAATCTATATTTAGTAATCTAAACTAGGGGTAAAAAGATCATTTTACCCTTTACTCAGTTTGGTCCAAGACTAAGGCTTAAACTCAATATCTATAAGGCCCAAATTTAAAAAATCATCCAAAGCCCACTTATGGCCTAATTTTCTAAATTGGGCCTAATATCCTATATGGGCCTTACCCTAAAACCCAACAATATCCCTCACTTAGCCCAAAATCTTGATTCCAGGTGGCCCACTAAGGACCACAACAACAAAGTCCAATGAAATGACCTAACCGAGGCCTAAAAGATGCGAAGCTCAACAGAGTAAGTACACGGGGCGTACTCAGTTTTACGGTAAGCGTACACACAAATTGGGTTGTACGCCAACTGTTGCACCTCAATCCCAACTTCAAGATATAGCATTATACTTTCACAAAATGGGCACAAACTCATGCATGAAGAATTCTAAACCCTTAAGGTGACAACTTTATGAATCTAGAACTTCATAAATACCATGAGTGGCAACTCAAAGCTCATGGAGTGGCATCAAACCACTAGATTCCATTCTTGTGGCAAAAAGGGACCAAAACTCAAATAAAATAGATCTAAGCTATCAATGATCAAGATCACAACTTTTTACCTCAAGTAAGCTAGAAATGGAGTAGAGAACCAAGACCCACAAGCCCTTCCTTGATCAACCACCTTGCACCAAGCTTCTTCTTCAAGATACGGACCAAAGTACACCAAAAATGGACACAATGAGCTCAAAATACCAAAGAGAGGTCTAGGGTTTCATGCTTCAATATATAGTGACGATGGAGGCTGAAAAATGAGGGTTTCATGGTCTATAATGATTTTTATATAGTGCCTAACCCTGAAAATTAGGGTTTCTAAATGACTCATGTACACCCTGCGTACATACACGTATGCCCAACGTACGTGTTCGGAGTCCCGATCCCGCCTCGCCTGAGTACGCTAAGCGTACCATGTGGTATGCCCCGCGTACTCGCTTTACAACTTGTACGCTAAGCATACCATGTAGTGCGCCCCATGTACAAATCAAAGAGCAAAAGTGCAACATTAACAACAATAAGGGCAATAAAGAAACTTACCATAATTCAAGTGTTACATTTAAGGTCTGTTGCCAACCTAGAATTAGAAATTTATGTGTTCAGATTTCTAAACATTTAATTATAGTATTATAATTGGCATATAACATTTCGGAATAATAAGGAGGATTGTGCATCTAAACCTTCCTCCATCTATATTCTCATCTTGATAAATCCAACGCCTTACGATAGTGAATGATACATATCTGAAGATATTGTAAGTAATACTTATAGAGTGTATCTTTCCTTTAGAATATGTTTGATAAATAATATGTGTGGTTAGAGAGAAGTACACCTTCAATTGGCGGGATGATAAAACTTTTGGTATAATTCGTGAAGTCGTCCCATCATTTAGCGTTTCCACCATCAACCAAGTTAAAGCAAAATTACTATTAAAGATATGTATGGAAGAAGTCCTAATGGAGTCTAGGGAATTTTATATGCTTGTTTGGACACATTCATATGTGTTAAATCGTTTTGTGATTTTAGGAATAAGAACTTGGTAACTACGAGATAATTCTTGGAACAACTATGAGTAGGTGTGAAAGATAGTAGAGGCCTATACTACCTGAAGCACGTGACTCACACTTAGATGGAAAAGAGTCACAAGGTACCAAGGCGCTAGTAAAAGAAATTGTTGTTCATGCCCGTCGTTACCATCATTTCGGTAAGATTAAAGAAGATGATTGTTATTCCGACCTTAGCGATCATATCAAATTGAGTCCGAAAAATATACGAATTAAGTTCAATGGAGCGTCTGACCTTATTTAAAAAGACTGAAGGAAAAGATAATCAAAGTTATAATCTGAGGTTCGGGAGGGCAATCCAGTCTTATACTGTAGTGATCTATTAGATTTAGTAGATATGTATGATTACATGTACTTGCTGGCTATTGATTATTGTTTGCATATGTTGACATGGTGTGGTTGGGTTAAGGAAATATTGTTTTGTGTTGTAATCTAATAAACCTAGGAGCAATCTAGTCATAATCTGAGGGTCAAGAGGGCAATCTAGTTGTTGGGTATTTTAGGGGAACTTACTAAGATTTGGCATATGTCCATGCATTGTGTGTGTGTCTATATATATATATATATATATATATATATATATATATATATATATATATATATATATATATATATATATATATATATATATATATATATATATATATATTGGTGTGTGGGGTATTTTAGGGGAATTTACTAAGATTTGGCGTATAATTGTGGATTTTAATGTTTTTCAGGTAATTTAAATAATCGGGGCAAGGTGAAAGCGTGATCATATACATCCTCCTGCTGATTTATGTTTTGATATATTATTTGATACTCTGATTCTATGGATTTGATTTGAAAACAATGGCTGATTATCTTATGGTTTTTGTGAAAATGTTTATAAAAATGAAAATTTTTATCATGGTTTTTGGGATGCTATATTTTTCGGATGAGAAAATCAACACCAAGAGTATTTACAAACAGAAGATTTTAGATATTAAAGAAAGAAGGCGGCTGGATTTAATTAAAAAAAAAAGTTGTTGGCTTACGAATGGAGATGATAATAAGAAATTCTTCCAGAATACTATGAAGATGAAAAACATAAGATCCAATATACATGTTTTAATGATAAATGTGGTTTGGATCACTGAGGAAAATGTGATTAAACAGGAAGTTTGGAGCTTTTAGTTCTAAATTCCATGAGACTAGAAGGAGCACGTCTGCATTTTTGAATCCTAATTTTAAAAAGCTTTCTGAGTTAGATACACAACTCTTGGATTGGATTTTTCATTAGTATGGTTTACCGGCTAAACCCTTCTCCATGGTTGCTGAGTTTTATCGAATTTGCGGCGAATTGGGGAAATTATCTGGAAAAAGAAAGAAAGATGATTTTAGCTATCCTTTACGATTTTCTGTGGTGCGTTTAGAAGGCAAGGAATGATAAGATCTTCAACAGGATAAACACTTCAACTTCTAGATTGGCGGATAATATATTTTCTTTAGTTTTTCTTTGGGTTAAACATAGAGTGAATTTTGGGAGGTGGACCAGATGGATTGGTGCATTTGGCCCCTTCATAATTTTGTAATTTTCCCTTTGTATTGTATACTCTTGTTTTTTTTCTTGCCTTTTTCTCTTAGGCAGTTTTTATTTAATTCCCTCTGTTCCAAAAAAAAAAGGTTATAACCACATGTCAAAGGTGCATTATATATTTGATCCCGTTGCATGTTTTCAAGTTAAATATAGATGAAACTCAATTGAAATTATTGCTCTAAAAGATGTAGGCATCAAACAATCAATAATTTCATCATTATATGTGAGCATAATTTGCTAAAAGGATATGATTTCAGGGAAACCAATGGAAACTAAATTCAAATTAGATCGATATAGGATTTTATACATATAAAGAAAGTTGGAAATCTTTATCATAAATTTCATGAAAAATATGAAAATATAAAGTTACGAAGATCTAACTACTGGGAAAGTAAATTAAAAGTGACCTGATATGAGGTTGGTATATGACTTGGATACCTCACATGATCATAATCGGATAGTATATCATTTTTTCAACAAGAACATATGAACATAAGTTTATTAATAATATCTATTTCTTGGGAAACTTGGTGGAGAAGGGTTGGGAACAAAGACAAACAATAAACAGTGACCATGTATATTTTCTTTTAAATTTCGACACCAACATCCAAAAAGTAAGTAAAAATCACTAATTAAAACAATAATTACATCCAAAATGTAAATAGCAAGGTTACATTTCATAAACAACAAAGACTTCATAATTTTCTTTTACCATATATATCATATTTCTAATGTTTTAATGATATATTTTTTTTTAATAAAAACACCATCAATCCAATTTATTAAAAAGATATTCTAGATAAATGCACCAACAATATATATATTGATAGTAAAGCGCATTCCCTACATCTTGTCTTCAAAAACCATTTTCCATTTAAAAGAGAGCTCGTTTTCAAAGGGAGTTTGGTTGAGAACGGGTTTGTGTAGTGTTGTTATTCTATTTTATCAGCTTTGTTGTTATGTTATCTCTATTTTATTTACGAAGCATAACATGTTTGTTATCATAACAAACAAAGAGATTGTTGGTACATGTGATGTGCAGTTTATCACAATATGGTTTTCTATGTTAACAAATATTAAAACTCATATTGTATTATTTACCAACGTTTTATTTAATTTGAAGGTTTATTTTCATATAATGGAGGTTCAAAATGAGGATCCGAACGAGCGTCGAAAATGTAAAACAAACACCATATTCTTGTTGGCGACCATAATAGTAGTAATAATGCTTATTGCTATATGTAGAATGCCAGCAGCAGTTGATAAACCAACCGGCAAGTATAAACCGGGAATGAAAACTTCATTCAACGTCTTTTTGGTCTTCGCCTTTATCGCACTGCTTACATCCATAGGAATCATGGTGGCTGAGTTTATTGCGAATATAAATAGGATGATGAAGCTTCAAACAATCATAGATAAAATCATCGTGGTGCCCGTCTTGTCCATGATAGCAGCTGGTGTAGCCGCTGTAGTGACCATTTATCGTTAGGTATATATTGGTTATGTTAGTTTATAACCTGTGAGAATCGCGGTTATAAATTAATTAAATTTTCATAGTAAAAACTTAGAATTATGAATTAATTATTTCAAATAAATTATTAATTAAGAGATATTTTTTTGTTATATAAAATTATAATCGTTGATTTAAATAAATGTATGAAATTATATCACCTTATAATATATATTTATTTTATCTTATTTTTTATTCTAGTGTTATTAATTTAATGTAGTTAAAATGTGAATTTAAAATTTGAAATTTAAAATAAAGAATCAAATATTAATTTAATGTAATTAAAGTAAGAAATTTAAAATTTAAAATGGAGATTGAATAGGTTGACATGTAGCATGATAGGTGTCATCTAATATTAATAAAGATTTCTAATAGGGAAAATAACTTAGGAGGGTAACTAAACCTCTTATCCATGTTCACATATTAGCAACTTCTTTTTTGTACATAATAAAGCAACTAACTTATTTTAACTGTTTAAATTACACTAATATTACCGGCTAATATATGTTTTAACCGGTAACTCAAAGGGAAAATGACTTAGGAGGGTAACTACCTCTTATCCGTGTTTACATATTGGCAACTTCTTATTTTTTGTACATAATAAAGCAACTAACTTGTTTTAACTGTATAACATCCCAAAAATCATGATCAAAAATTTCTTTTTTAATTTAATACTAAAACCATAATTGTCAAACCATTAATTTAATACTTCGGTATCAGGCCCCGCCTGGCATCGAGCCTCGCTCGGTATACAAATATGTCTCTCTTAGGCCCCGCCTGTCTCCGGGCCCCGTCCACTAAACACATACAATCATATAACATGCTAACATATAAAGAAACATACTCTATTGTATCCATGTCCTATACATACTCTGCTAATAATGAGATACGGAACATCGTTCATACTCAACTAGTGATGAGATATGGGAGCTCGCCCACACTCACCTCTTTACCAGGCACATACAAGTATCATACAGACAACAAGTATAATCTAACATGAAAACATTCCTCAGCAACCCGCCCGACATCAAACCTTGGTCTGGAATAACATACTAGCATACAATGCCTAGGGCTAACCCCCGAGTCGTCCTACTCATAGACTACATGGGCTGGTATTGTGGCCTTAGACCCATTCATATAGTGAGGAGACTCACCTTGCACTGCTGAAGCCCTGGCTGGAACTAGCTGAGTATAGACGAAGTTCCGTATCTCATTATTAACAGAGTATCTTTCTTAGGACAAAGATACAGTAGAGTGTGTTTCTTTATGTGTTAGCATGTTAGATGATTGTATGTGTTTAGCGGGCGGGGCCTAAGAGAGACAGATTTGTATACCGAGCGGGGCTCGATGCCAGGCGGGGCCTGATGTCGGGCGAGGCCCGATGCCGGAGTATTAAATTAATGGTTTGACAATTATGGTTTTAGTATTAAATTAAAAAAGAAATTTTTGATCATGATTTTTGGGATGTTACACAGTTAAAACAAGTTAGTTTCTATCTTATGTACAAAAAATAAAAAGTTGCCAATACGTGAACACGGATAATAGGTAGTTACCATCCGTAGTCATTTTCCCTTTGAGTTACCGGTTAAAACATGTATTAGCCGGTAATATTGATATAATTTAAACAATTAAAACAATTTAGTTGTTTTATTATGCTCAAAAAAAAAAATTATCAATATGTGAACACGGATAAAAGATAGTTACCATCCTAAGTCATTATCTCTTTCTAATATTGTAATACTTGTCAATAGGAGAATAAACTTATTTATTTATTAGAATAGAGAAGATATACAATAAAAGCATAAAGTAATAATTTTATTATTAAATCGGGTGTTTAATGTTTGGTATTATGTTTAATTGTCTACAATAAACATGTCTACAATTAATCGACAAAAACAATCAATTTGATATCAACCGAAATAAAGTTAATTATTGAAATGGTTTGAGTTACTTATGTGTATTCATTATATTTTTATTATATCTACAATCATAGTGATTACATTTTTAAAGGAAATTTATAAACGACTATTTTTATTTTATATATATATATATATATATATATATATATATATATATATATATATATATATATATATATATATTCCGAAGTCAAGGTATTCATTCCATAGTTTTTTGTCCAAAACAATAATATTTCCTTTGTGAAGTTCCATTCCGAGTAAGATTATCTGAAACACGAAACGATTGTCAGCTTCATACTTTGATGTGACAATACGAAGTCATGGACACTAATTCTTGACACACGTTCCGGACCAATATTCCAGACTACAAAAAATCGTTTTTCATCCACTATGTAACGCCCACACTTTTCGTTAAACAAATCATCTTCATGTATGTTGACGAATTAATGTAAAGTTTTATTATAAACAAATAAATAAGAAATATTCTTACATGTTGCGTGTTTACAAAAGGGTTATTCGTATATGATATTGTATTTATGTTATATGGATAAATATTATAGTGATATAATATTTGTATAAAAAATACGGTTAAAAACGTAACGAAAATCTATAAATATCAATTAAAAATAAAAATGTATTTATGATAAAAGATATAAACGAAAGTCGTAGTATTCGTCAATACAAAACCGTCGATATAAAGAACATCCAAATTTGACTTCATATAAGAAAATTATGATTTTTCAAAGTTTCGCGTTCGAGACGATACAACGATATGTGTCATAAAAATCAAATTAAAGATTGGTTGTTCCTGGACAAAACAAACTAAACAATAGTTATAGTACTCTTCAACACGAGATCGGCAACATAAAAAACGTTGAAAACGGAGTTCGTATGAAGAAATTAAGAATTTCAGCGTTATTTACAGTCTAAACCTTCTCAGACCGTAAAACGAAAAATAAAATGTGAATTATCTGACGAAGTCTAAATGAAAGTTGTATTACTCGTCGATACGAAGTTAGGGATATAAAAACCATAGAAAACGGATTCCATATGCGAAAGTTATAATTTTTAGAAAATTTAGAAATCCGGACGTCCTAGATCACGCCACTTGGCGCATTGGACGGCCGACACATGGCACAATCTAAGGCAACCCTTCCTCCCCAAGCCTATAAGCGAATGCTGACACGTAGCAAGGTGCGGCACGCCTCCATGAATTTCCTATATATTCCCTCGTTTTCATATTCAATTTTATACCAAACTCTCGAGGCCCAACTTAAGGACTTTTAGGTGTTAGTAGCGAAGCTCTGGAGTGTTAGAGATCCCAAAGAAATAGAGCTTTCGGTTTTGAAGAAAAAGTGTATCTCTATATACCAAACAGATCCTACCTCCAATACGATCTTACCTGGTCGTTCATTATCAACTATAAGTTAGTATTATTTTGGGATTATTGATAAATTTAAGAAACTATTATTTTAGTCACGAAGAATATAAATGATAAATGAAATGTAGTAATATTTATATTTAGTTCTTCTAAAAGAAAAGAGCTTAAGCGTTAGGAGAAGCGCAAACTTAACTAAAAGTCTTTTTACCTTTAACCAAGTGAGTGTGTAGTTACTTTCAAAAGCATAATCTTAAATAAAAGTATTTATTACATTAAATTTTAAATAGTATGAAATATATGTATTTTCTACTATTTATATATTTTGTTTTATGATAGTTTTTCCATAATCACGAACTGTATTGGAAGATGTCCTCCTGATACTCTCGTGGGCGAGACAATAGCTTTCTTGTTGGTGGTGGGAGGAAACAAACTAATGCTTGGAAACTAAAGACAATGGTATTATTTGGTCTCAATTTTTACCCTCAGTTAGTTAGAGATCAGATAATATTCAATCTTCACAAAGTAGTTTTTGAAATACTTGACGAATTAAATTCTATAGGCATGGAAGAAATCAAGAAAGACGATATAAATGTCATTGGTGGGGCTATTTCTTCTGCAAGATTATAGTTTCTCAAGATTCTTTAATCAATCTCTTTATGTTTCTCTGTACGTAGTTCATATAATTGGATCTGCCTTGTTTGATTTGAAAAATTATTCTGATGGTTATTTCTTAATAGACGGTGTTAAGTTTACTGTATCAATATTCAAGTAATTAACTCTGAGGTTGCATTAGATGAATCTTGTGGTGGTGCTTCCAGTTATCATAAGGATGATTCTTCACTTAGTGGTGATTCTACCTCAAAGAAAATGTCAATTTCAGCTCATGAACCAAATTCAAATCCTCCATTAGAAGAGGAATCTCCATCGTCTCCTATCAAAAATCCATCTTTTAGTATGAAGTTGAAGAACTTCAAGCCAATCCCAAATTTAGGTCAGAGGTCAGATAATGTTTCAACATAACCAAAATTTGTATCTACCTTCGATTCTAACTCAAAGAATTCATATCATATATATCCAAATCCAATCCCCTCAAAAAGTCACAAAGGAATGGAATCACATGATGGAATTGTTGAGAAAGGAAAGCAAGTTGGGCATAAAGATGGAAAACAAAAGGATAATGACCATTCTTGTATAACACGATTTGATATCTGTCCAAAGAAGGTTAAAACTAGGGTTGTAAAGATAAAACCATCACTACTTTCAACAAACAGAGTCGTGGGCACGATAGCTGCTACACCAGAGGTGTATCCTTCCCGGTCCTCTCGTACTAGAGAAAAGTCCTCTCAATGCTCTAACGCCCATATCGGACATGTACCGAACTGTCTCACGACATTCTGAAAAAAAAATCTAAACGCAAAGCAGATTGGCCAAAAATCAATATGTTGAGGTTTGGAATGGTACTCATGAAAGGTTATATTTCTTCTGATGATCAGGTACATTTTGCATTCTGGATTATGAAAAGATATTTTCAAGTTTCAATTATCATACCCTTTGACTTTTTTTGACTTTATCTCCCAGGTGAAAATAGTAAAAACTTGTAGGGAGTTAGGTATAAGAGAAGGAGGTTTTTACCAACCTGGGTATAATGATGGAGGAAAACTAAATTTAAAAACGATGTG